ATTGGTGTACAAATCTCAGCTTGTGTTTCAGTTCTCATATTCTTAGAGTCTATTCCAAATACTGGAACAGCTGGGCCATATGGAATTTCTATGTTCAGCTTTTTGAGGAGGTGTCAAACTCTCTTCCAGAATGGTTGTGCCATTTTACAATCCCGCCAACGTATAAGAGTTCCCATTTCTCCACATACTCTCCAGCATTTATCACTTGCTGTCCTTTTCAGCTTTGCCACTGTTAATGGCGTGAGATGGTACCTCACTGGTTTTGATTTGCATCTCTCTTATTGCCAGTGATTTTGATCATTTCATCATATTTCTGCCATTCGATTATCTTCTGTGAAGTATCCTTAACACTTCATGTGCTGTAATTTACCTATGGGATGACATATTTGCTTACTGGCTAATTGTCTCCATCACTAGAGTTTTTGTTATTTAATTTCTGGGACTTTCTGTTAATGGTCCCTGACAACACACTTTTCCAATGCTGTACATTTTTTTTTTTTTACTTTTTTCACATTTTTATTATGACATTTACATTTTGATTTCTTGATTGCTGGTGCCAGGGTTGTTGATTGTGGATCCAACTAAGAGAATAAGAGTTGCAGTCTTTTGCCAAAGGGGCCCTTTAGAGTAGTGAGAGAAGAGCTTCACCCTGAAACCCACAGCGTCCCTTTTCAGCAGGAAGTAGCTAAGAGAATACGCCATCCCCTTTTCCTTATGACTCAGGGTGAAGTCTCTCTCAGGGAGGAGTGATAGGGAATGACAAAGGACACACTGACAAAGAAGATTAATCAGAACTGGCTTTGACAAGCACTGTGGCATTTGGACAAGAACAAACTGGGAGGAGGGTAGAGAGAATAGTGCAACAATGAATGAATGGAAACCCAAAATCTCTGTAAATGTTTATGAAAATTAATAAAATATAGAAAAAAAAGATAATTAAAAAAAAAGAGTTGCAGTCTTTCTCCATTTATCATGATGGTGCTTTTCAGCTTGGTGGTGATAGTCTGCTGGCAGGGACTTCTCCAGAGTACTGAGGAGCAGTAATGTCAGTTTAAAGGTGTGCCTGATTCACGCCATGGTCTTTTCAGGCACTTGTTACACATCTGAGAGCTGGACAGTGAATTAAGATGACAGAAGAATTGATGTCAACTTATGTTTGAGAAGCCAAAAGGACAGATAATGCTCCGTAGAGGCAAGGAGAGCAAAACCATCTCACGTACTTTGAGTATATTAGGAGGCCAGTCTTTGGGTGGAAAAAACCCCATGCTTTGAAAAGGGGAGGGTTATAATAAGGCCCTCAGTGAGATTGATGCAGTGACTGCAGGAATGGGCTCAAGTTTGTCAGATAATGATGGCGCAGGATAGGACAGGGTTCACATGTTTTACATCAGGTCACTCTGAGTTGCACTTGACATCACATAACAGTGTAGAGAAAATAAAACAATGGTGTAGAATCAGGCATGGTTTTGTTCCATTGCAATGAGTTGGAGCTGACACGGTGGCATCTAACTGATTGTAGGAGCCTAGTGGTTATGCACTGGCTGTTAATTGAGAAGTCTGCTACAAATCCACCAGTGACATGTCCATCTGCTTCCAAAAAGACTAAAGCTTTCGACACCCTGTGGGATAGCTCTCAGTTGCACAGGGTTGCTCTCTAGGAAGAGTGGCAGAGGGCAACAAAGCATAGAATGTTGTTGAGTTGGTGACTCTGAGACCCTATGAACGAAAGTCCTGGACACCTGTATAACTTTCATCCTTTCATAGGGTTCATAGGGATTCCAGAAGCAAGCTGTTAACTGAAGTGGATGCCACTCCTGCTTCCAAGCTTGTTTTAATGGGGGAGCTCCACCAAACACCATCGGTAACCTTTCTAGTACTTGACTCCTCGGTGTCAGTGTTCGACTTCACAGCGACCATGAGTTTTCTCTGTACAGCAAGTGGACATACCAGGGTTACACCTTGAAGAATGTTTTCACCAAAAACAAAGGCAGGCCTGAGGGCCGTGGAGTAGTCACCCACCTTTGGCTTGGGAGCATGACTGCTCGGCCAACTGCTCTCTCTATGCTGCTGCTGGTGTTAATACAGAATGTATACACTCAATAAATATTGGATGGAGTACCTTTTTAGTTTCATTTTTACTACCAATGCAGGAATGTTTGTTCACAAAGCGAGTTCCAAACATCTTAGACATTTTAAGTATATTTGTAAAAGATAAGCACAAGACCATTTAGCAATAATTCTTTAGCTATTTCCTCTTTCACCAAGGACCTGCTAACATGGGCCGTGTTCACACCAAAACCATGGAAAAGGGGGCCCTGGTTATCACTGAAGAATACTACACGTGCCTGGCTAGTAACTTCCATGTCAACAAGTGTTTGTGTGAGGAGGTTGCCAGAACAAGATAGGCTATATCACATCTCATGGTGGATTCAGAGAGGGCCTGTGAGAGGCATCTGTTAAGCTGCAGGAGGAGGAGAGAGAATGATATGCTACATGTTTCAGCCCTGGATCAGGAGATCATTGAAGTAGATCCTGGTACTAATGAAATGCTGAAGCTCTTAGACTTCCTGCCCTCTCAGCCCACAACTGGGATGAATTCCAAACACCACGTGGAGCCAGTCATTTAGTCTGTCTACTATTCTGTAATAGTTTCAGTAAAGTTGGGCACACCAGAAAAAGGATAAAAATTCTTTAACATTACTGAATATTCAGTGTAAAAACTGGCAGGGATGATGTTTGACCTCTTAATGGGGTGGAAGAGTCCAATGGCACAAGGCTGATTGTAGTGCAGACACATCTCCTATACACCATTCCTTCCTACCTTTTCTTACAGCAACTGACCCTCCCACAACCCTTAATTCCACTTGGTTTGATGAGTCATTGCAAAGATCAAAATTCACTGATCATAAATATGAATATGGTGTTTATTAGGGAAGCAACAGTTTACAGTTGAAGGTCAGGAACACCCAGAATACAGTTCATCAGTCAGGATGCTCAGCTCATAGCTGACCCTCCTGTGGATTTTCAGAGGCTGTAAATTGCAGGGAAGATGATTCATCTTTCTTCCACAGAGCGTCTGGTGGGTTTGAACTGCCTGCTTTGGGTTGGCAGTGAAACGCTTTACTAGAGCTCATAGTTCTTTAATCATGACAGCCTCTTCAGCTGTGTCTAAAGGAGTTTTTAGTCCATTGTTCTCAAAAGCTCTGTAGCACTGGTGATTTTAGTGCCCCCAGAGTACATCATGTAGCAAGTCTACAGGTACCACGGTATAGCTCTAGATGGACAAGTCTTGGCTCTCTGACAAATCCCTGTAGATATCCAGCACTTGAAGAAGCTGCCGCCTGCTCTTCCTCTGCTGCTGCCATTTCACACCGCCTCTCTGGTGTTAACAGCTTTCTGTCTTCTGGATAGAGGTTTCTGTGCAGGGATCTCAGGCTAAAGGACACACACTCCTAGCCTTTTCCACCTCTGGGGAGGGGTTTATCCCTTGATACAATTAACCAATTCCCATCTTAGTTTTCTATATATCTTATTTGTATATTTCCACCTCATAGGGGTACAATTTACCTTATTTACATTAGTGGCAAACTATCCAGTCTCCTCTAAGTCACAGACACCTCATATTTGCATCCTCTCCCGGTCATTCATGATCTCTCACTCACTTGACCGTGGTGTCTGAAGGGGACAGTTCCTGAAGGAGGAAATCATGCTTAGTAGTGAAAAGAGGAAGCAGAACTTTGTTCCTTTGTGCAGGTTAGCCAACTCTAAGGTATCTAACAACCCAGCCATTTGATTAAAGTTGCACAGTCCATAGCTAGAAGCAGTATCAAGCAATTCACAGCACCACAGTTGGTGTTCAAACACTTAGTACTGTCATACATAAATTTGGGTGTACTTTGAAAATCAGTACCTAGGTAATGTCCCCACATTGTGACTGGTGGTTTGTCCCTTGAAGAGTCCGATGAGGCAGGACAGCAAAGTGAAGAGTATGGTCTGCAACCCCAATAGAGGACCTCCACGTTCTACCCATATAACTTAAAAAATACACCTTAACTGTATGTGTCTGTCCATGTGAAATGGGTTTATAATCACCCTTCATTTGGTTGGTGCAAAGTATCCATTTGAGTCAATAAAAAATAAAACCCAACGAGGTAAATGTAACTACTAGCATTTATTATCTGCATTTCACAGATGAGAAAAGTGAAGCTCTGAGGAGAGAAGTAACCCAGTTAATCCAATCAGGAAGTGGTTTATGAGAGAAGAGTTCCTGTTGCTCAGGGTGGGACAGTGTCTAGGCTAAAGCCCCAGCCTGGCTGCTAACAGAAAAGTTGGCAGTTTGAATCTACCAGTTGCTCCGTGGAAGGAAGACGCACAGTCCCAGAAGCCTGATGTTGAGCTCTGATGACCAGATCTGATGATCACCAGAAGCTGTGCTGCAGTCCCAAAGGACCGGGGTTCAAATCCACCAGTGCAATGTAAATCAGAACTGACTAGAGAGTGGGTGAATGAACTTAGCATATTTACTCAGTATTTGAGAGCTAGGGCTGTTACCTAAAACCTACCTAAAAGGGCTGCTTTGTTCGCCCCTTTGGCACAGGACATTCCAAAGTCGCTTTCTATATTGCTCCTCTGGTTTTGTCCCTTGAGAGGACAGGAAAGGGGCCCAGTTACCTAGTCAAACCCAAGAAAAAAAGATGAAATTGGATCTCTGGACTTCTTTGATTCTTGAGGGGGTGACTGTCACTTGGAGTGGCCTGGGATGCTTTGGGCCCAACTGGGCATTTCCTTGGGCTACCAGCCCACACCCTCTCCTTGAAATGGTTCAGGCTGAGTAGGAACCTCTAGGTGGTGTGGGCGAAATTTGGGACTGATTTAGAGCTAGGGCGGAGACAAGAGGGAGAACACAGGTTCCTTGTGCTGTTGGGACAAGGGAAGGCTGGAGGAAACTGGAGCCCCTGCTTCCCCTCCAACCCCCACGTCTCTGTTGCAAACAGTCCATGATGGCTTGGTCCTCGGTGATCTTTGGTGTCATCATCTTGCTGTGTACCTTCCTAGAGCCTAGTATTGGAGGTCGCCTCATGCCCAAGCTCGCTGACCGGAAGCTGTGTGCTGATGAGGAATGTAGCCGTAAGAGTGGGCAAAGGGGATTGGGAACCTGATTTGCCAGCTGGCCTTTGTGTGATGGGGCTACCACTTCCCTTCTGTTTCTTCCCCAGACCCCATCTCCGTGGCTTTGGCCCTTCAGGACTACGTGGCCCCGGACTGCCGCTTCCTTACCATACACAGGGGCCAAGTGGTGTACGTCTTCTCCAAACTGAAGGGCCGAGGGAGGCTCTTCTGGGGCGGCAGTGTGAGTCGGGAGAACAAAAAAAAGGGGGAAGTCTGGGTGTTGTGGGAACGTGCACACCACTTTTCCACCTGAAGGGCCAGTTGGAAGAAGCTAACTGAAACAGACTGAGGTATTTTGGGGGGCAGTTCGAGGGCATCTACTGAGGTGCCAGGTTCTAATGAGAAGTCAGGGAATTCCTTTTATTCTAGTGGATGAACAATGTCAAGGGTGGGTCTTTGAGTAGGTGATACTTAATCTTTGAACTTCTCTCCCTTCAGGTTCAAGGTAACTACTACGGAGACTCAGCAGCGCGCCTGGGCTATTTCCCCAGTAGCATCGTCCGCGAGGATCAAACTTTGAAACCCGGCAAAATGGATGTGAAAACGGATGTGAGTGCTCTCAGGGGCTGGGGACAGGATCTGGAGGGAGAACCCCTGAATTACGATGGAGGATGACCAGCCAAATTGCCCGGACAAAAATCCTTCCCTGCCTCAGTTTTCTAATCTGTGAAATAGAGATTTCCAAGCCCGCTCCAGGTGGGAGAGACAAAGATCAGACGGTGCTAGGCTAATTTGCATCGCACTTGATTGGCTTAACCTGCGCCTTAGAAAAAACCATTAGAGAACCATTGTGGTGTGACATCTGACTTTCTCTGCACTCACTGTTTCTCCTTTCTCTTTTTCAGAAATGGGATTTCTACTGCCAGTGAATTCAGTCTACTACTGTGCCCGCTGTTTTTCCCCTCCGCAGGCTTTATGCAAATACATTAGCCGAGTGCAAACTGCAGATCTTTGTGGTCTTCGGGTGGGGCAGGGATGGTCAAAGGAAACGTTTTTCAGGTTCCTCAATCTAGCCAATCAGCTCACCGAATGTGGTTATTGTCAATGGTTGCTAGGCAGATTTCCACTGATTGAAGATTCTGCTTCAAGCCAGATACCGGAGGCGAGCAACAAGCTATTTGCTATTTGGAACAACACAAAACGTCCAGTTGGGGAACTGTATTCTTTCAAAACCAATGGGAGGGAGTTGAACTATTGGGAATGAGTCAGATTATGAGAACACAAATCGCAGAGCAGAGGTTTCCTTGGAAGATTGAGAAGTACTATGGGAGTGTCGCCCTAATAATCTTTAGCTTTCTTACTTTCGAACACTGCAATTACACCTATCATCTCAAGATCCGACCCTCTCCCACTCCCTAGCGGTCAAACCCGCCTCGCCCCGCTTCTTTGCATTCGTAACCCCGCCTTCACGTGCGCTCCTACCCAATCCGGAATCTCGACTCAGCCCCCTGAATTCCTGACCAAATCCGTTCCTCGGCTGGACGAAGGATCTCTGCACCGCCCACTCGAGCCGGCTCCGCCAATCCTCGCTCTTGGTCCCGCCCCTCCGACTAGGCCCCTCTAACTCCACCAATAAGGATCTTTTGTCCCACCCACTGTCTGCCGAGTCAGCCAATCTCTCCCTTTGGGGAGCGTGGCCTGGTACCCCGCAGCCTTAGCCGGTCGCGCTGGAGGGGGTGGAGGCGGAAGTGGCGGCGCCGGGCCCGGGGAGTAGGAAGGAGCCGGGGCTGCAGCCGGAGTGGGGTGGCTGCCAGCCGAAGAGTAGGCGCGACCGCGGCGCCATATTGAGGCCCTCAGCGGCCGTTACCAAGTCATGGCCGAGACCTACGGTGAGGGTGGTGGGTCGAAGCTGTGAGTCTGCGGCCAGGGCCTGGAGAGGATGCGGCCTGTGGGGGGAATAGGGTGGGGCTTAAACGTCAGGGGGCGGAGCTTGGCGTTTTGGGGCCGGGCCTTGTGGATGCAGGGAGGAGCTTGGCTTATTTAGGGTTGAGCTTAACCTATTTGGGCGGAGTTTGTGGGTCTAGTAAATAGGTTAAATGGAGCTGGGGCGGGATTTGAAGGAGATGGTCCTGGTGGATCCTACCTATCTAGACCTTGAGAGAAGGGATGGCCTTAATACATTAAGTCGGAGCCTGATTGAATGGGATGGGGCTGGCTTTGTGACTGCTTATGGGGTTGGGCTTAATGGGATTCACAGAACTCAGGGACTGACCTAATTTTGAGAGGTCTTGGAATGGGGTTGAAGATGAGTGAGAGATGGAATTCAGTGGCAAGGAGTGGGATTTGCTTAAATTTGGGAATAGGGTCAAGGCTTTGGGCGAAGGAGAGAGAAAGGTTGGAAATCAGAAAATCAGGTTGGGCAGGGTGCATAGAAAGAAAGAACCAGCAGAGGGAACCAACTTGTCATTTCCTGGGAATAAAATGAAGGCCAGGAACTGTATTGGATGAATGGGTGAGAGGGTGGTGGAGGTGGAGTGGAGAAGGTTAAGACTAGATCAGGCACCGCCCTTGTCACATGCAGCCAGTGCTGTCGAGTGGATGCCAGCTCTTGGCAAGCCTTCATCAGGATTCCAAGCTTGTAGATCCTTATGAGAGGAGATTTCTCATCTGTCTCCTGCAGACCAGCTAGTAGATTCAGACTCCTGCCCTGCCAGTTAGCAGCCTGGTCCGTAACACACCATACCACCAGTACCAGTCCTTGATGACATGGTTTTCAAAAGCCTTTATCAATGTGATAGTTGGGATCTTGACTCTGGAGTCATCTGATCCAAGTTTGACTCCCAGCTACATCTTGGACTAGTCAGTTAGTTTGGCCTTGGTTTCTAGAAAATGGGGGCAATTAAAGATTACTTATCTGTAGTTTTCACAAATGATTGGCAAATGGTGACAAATGATACGAACTTTAGTGGCCTAGTGGGCATAGAATTGCTTTACTAAACCCAAGGCATGTGGTTTGAGTCTACCAGCTGCTCTGTGATTGGGCAGTCTCCTCCCAATTTATAGCCTCTGAAAGCTTGCTGGAGAGTCAGCTTGGAATCGGTTCTGACTCTATGGCACATGACAGCAACAGCAACAGCAACAAGATGATAGTAGCTGCTGTTGTTGTTGTCTAATGCTCTGCCTGTGTCTGTTTCTCTGCCTCCAACTGTGACACTCTTGGTTTCAATCTTTTTCTCTTTTTCTTCCTGTGGGTATCCCTGGTATTGGCTCCCTCCTCAGACTTCCTCTTCAAATTCCTGGTGATCGGCAGTGCAGGAACTGGCAAGTCATGTCTCCTCCATCAGTTCATTGAGAATAAGTGTGAGTTTTTAGAAGTGGCTCTAGGAGTTATGGGCATGGGCATGGCATGAGCAGGTGGGCAGCTGGTGGGGTGGGGTAGGCTGGAGCAGGCCTGGTCATTGGTGCAATGCTGGTACTGGCTGCTTGGTCTTTGCTGGGTTTTTCTTGAACCTCAGGCAGCCTGGCAGGGAGAATGAGGTTTGTATAGGCTGAGGAGGCCTTGATGAGTAGGGATCCTCTGAGCCCTGGCAATGCCTCCTCTCTCCCTCTGACTCTCAGTTAAACAGGACTCTAACCATACCATCGGCGTGGAGTTTGGATCCCGGGTGGTCAACGTGGGTGGCAAGACTGTGAAGCTGCAGATCTGGGACACGGCTGGCCAGGAGCGGTTCCGGTAGGTTGACCTGGGGTGGTCTGGACCTCTGAGGCGAGAGGGAGCAGGGAGAGAAGTTCAGAGTCTCAGACTCACAGCAGCAGGAGTGAAGAGACACTGAGTTAGTGGACAAGGTGAGGGTGATGGAGAAAGGAGACCGTCATTAGCAAATACATAAAGCCATGGGTAGAGAAAAATGACAGAGACAGTGCAGAGTGAGGGAGAGAGAAGCACAAAGAATGAGTGAGCAAGGGAATTCCTGAGACACCATAGTAGTTCCATGTAACCAGAGGAATGAAATATACACCTGGGCAGAAAGAAGAAAGGAAGAGACTTGAGGGCTACAGGGAGAGATTGAGGAAAAAACAACACATCAGACCTAGTGCAGCTCAGTGCATTTCAGCAGTGATCTCCATCAAGTTTCTGAGGCTGTAAATCTTTATGGGAAAAGATTGCCTTTCTTCTGAGGAGTGGTTGGTGAATTTGAACTGTCAGCCTTTTGGTTAACAGCCTCATATGTTAAGCACTGTGGCATCAGGGCTCCTAGATTGAGAAAGGGAGAGATGAAAACAGAAAAAGAAGGGCTCTTGAAAGAGAGGGAGGGAGGGAGGCAGAAACTGAAAGACATGGAGAGAAAAATTTGTAGAGGCAAAGACAGGCAATCAGAGACAGATGGGGAGTGACTTGAGCTGGGCAGGTGTGTGCAGAGATGGAGGAGCAGATGTGGCAGAGGAGAGATATGGACACGGCCCACCATAGAGTCAGTCTTGAAGAAATGTCTGCAGCAACGTATAGAGACCCTGGAGCTCAAAGGGAGACAGAGCCAGAAACAAAGACTCAGGTTAAGGGAAGAGAAAGGAGGAATCCAACGCATGACAGGGAGCTCTGGTGGCTTAGTCTTTAGGAAGTTGTGCTGCTAAACTCTGACAGTTTGATCCACCATTGGTTCCTCATAAGAAAGATGGACAGTCAGTCTCCTGGCTGGAGGGTCAGATAATGAGTTGATTCCGACTTGATAGTGATGAGTTGAGTACATAGAGAGATGTGGTTTTTGGGTAACTGCTAAGTTAATAGCCCTGTGTCAGTTCACTGCATGAAGCACACTGAGTACAGAGAGAAGTGAAAGAGGGACCATGTACAGTGTAGGGAAGTGCTCAACAAATGCCGTGGAGTGATGACAGGAGCTGCCCAGGTACCCAGCTTAGGCGTACAGGAGAGAGATGTCCCCCAGACACGGCAGGAGAAAGGTGGCGGGAGGGAGTGGCCCAGCCGGGGGTGGCAAAGGAGAGATGCTCAGAAAATGTTTGATGAATGAATGAATGAGACAGAGAGGGTAAGGATAAGGGGGAAGAAAACTAGAGCCAGAAAGAGCTAGAACAGAGTTAGAGACACACAAGGGGTGATAGAGAGAGAAACCAGTGAAGAGACAGACAGCTAAGTGAGAGAGAGAGAGTGAATGAGGCAAAGGGAGAGACTGTGAGGTGGAGAAATTACAATGAGGCCAGGCTTAGGAGTCAGCCAGCAGGAAAGAGGGGTGCCTCTGAAACACTAGTCGTTCTCCACAGAGGGGGGTGGTCTCGGGTTAGGCCCCAGCCTCCATGGTGACTGGGTCCCCCTGACCCCACAGGTCGGTGACGCGGAGTTATTACCGAGGGGCAGCTGGAGCTCTGTTGGTATACGACATCACCAGGTGGGTGCCCGAGATGGGCGGGCAGGTCCTGGGAAGCCCCTCGCCTGCACCCACCTCCTTTCTGTCTCCTCCTCTGCAGCCGGGAGACATACAACTCACTGGCCGCCTGGCTGACAGATGCCCGCACACTGGCCAGCCCCAACATCGTGGTCATCCTCTGTGGCAACAAGAAGGACCTGGAGCCTGAGCGTGAGGTCACATTCTTAGAGGCCTCCCGCTTTGCCCAGGAGAATGGTGAGGGCGGGGGGGGGGGGCGTGTGTGAGGGCCAGTCTGCCTAGCCCTCTTTGTGGTTGTCTGTGCAGGGGACTATTGTGCTTCTGATTTGAGTTCTGGGCTCAAGTCTGAGACTTGTCATGAATCAGCTGTGTGGCCACAGCACTGGCCCTCAGTTTCTCTTTCTGTTAAATGGGTTTTGCAGCATGGCTCCCTCATAGTGAGTGTGCTGTGAAGGTTAAGAGAGATCTTGGGTGGAAAGCCCTCAGAGTGCAACCTGGCTGGTAGTGCACACAAAACCCACTGCCTGGAGTCAGAACTGCCATGTAGCTATCTCGCCCTTGGATTTCTGAGGCTGTGAATGACATGGAGGAGATTGTCCATCTCTCTCCCATAGAGCTGCTGATGGATTCTAACTGCCAGAGAGATGTTGCCTCTGGGTTAGTGCAGCTTCACCCAGTTGGTAGCAGGGTGCTTTGTAAACGTTGACTGCAGTAGTTTCTCTCGCCATGGGGAGGCAGCAGCGGGTAATGCAGACTCAAGTGGCAAGCTGGCTCCAGAGATCTTGCAAACTCAGGATGCTTTTGTAAAGCAGAGAGTCAGGACTGGAATAGAACTGAAGGTAGAGGCTTGTGGTGCCAAGCAAGGTGGACTGTTGTTGTTAAGTGCTATTGAGTCATAGATGACTCACAGTGACCCTGTGAACAAAAGACCTTGATTTGACACATCAGTGTCATGCTGTTTAGCATCACAGCAACCACTAGTTACCTCTGTACAGCAAATGGACAGACTAGTGCTATACCACTTAGAAGAATGTTTGACCAAAATAAATTAAAACAAGGCCTGAGGGTCGCAGATTAAAATCACCCACCTTTGGCTTGGTAGCATCACTTTTTATCCACTAGGCCAACAGAGCTCTATGACAGACCTGCATAATGATGTGCAAATGCAAATTCATTTGAAACAAGATGTTGCTCAAACCAGCCACAGCTGCTGTTTTGGGGATTGGCTCATGGTCCTCTAAGTGCAACCACCAGGTTTAGGGAATAGGTTTTGCCATCAGAGAGATGTGGTGGCACTGAGAATTCCAACTTTTTTGTACTTAAGATCTTTGGTAAGTTGCTTATATGTTGATACATGGTGGTTCTAGAAAATTCTAGGAGGACAGCCGTGAAGACAGCCATGGGCCCTGCCTTCATGGGGCTCAAATGCCCCTGAGAGTCAGTGAGGGTGGGGGGACAGGTCTGTCTTCTGATAGAGAGCCCAGAGGGGCAGGATCAGGACTGGAGTTGGGAATAGGATGGGCAAGGTATAGATAGAAGGGTAGGGATGGGACAAGAAGATACAGGCGAAGAGGACAGGGCTAGTAGGCAGACATAAATTGAGGGTCAGAATTAGAACCCTGAGAGATCTAGGAGGACTTCTTGGAGGAGGGAACATTTCAACTGAGCACTAAAGGAAGACCTGGCAGGTATGTGAGACAGGGAAGGGCAGAGGAACATACCTGCCAAGGTCTAGAGCCAAGGTACGTGTGGAAGTTTTTTGGAACAGAATGGGAGTCAGCAGGTCAGTGGTAGGTGGAAGGAGGGTGCTGGCTGAGTCCCTGACCCCCAGAGCACCTGCCCTCCAGAGCTGATGTTCTTGGAGACCAGCGCACTCACAGGCGAGAACGTGGAGGAGGCCTTCCTGAAATGTGCTCGGACCATCCTGAACAAGATCGACTCAGGTGAGCCCCAGACAACCTGGAGGGGTGAATGGGTGTACCCCCCCAAACCTCCTAGGTGTCACCCTCTCATCTCCCCACAGGTGAGCTAGACCCCGAGAGGATGGGTTCAGGCATTCAGTACGGTGATGCTTCTCTCCGCCAGTTGCGGCAGCCCCGGAGTGCACAGGCTGTGTCGCCTCAGCCCTGTGGATGCTGAGACCAACAGAGCAGGTGGGATGCTGGAGCTTGGGGATGGCAGGGGTGATTGGCCTGGGAATAGGGGTGTGTGGAGTAGAGACTGAGAGTTTGCAGAGGGGAGATGACAGAACAGAGAGAGAGAAAGAGACAATGGAGACCTCTTCCTTTGGCCACAACATTCCATTGGCCACTTCCATTGTCCTGCCTTCCCACAGCAGCCCTCTCACCTGACTCTCTGGACCTCCCATTCATTCCTTATCTCCTCATTGAGTACCTGCTCTGTTCACATTTACCTATTACAGTTACACACAAACACACACACCCCCCCCTATAAACTAAAGGACATATTTCCTTGGCATTAATATTCTTTTGTTTTTCCAATCAAGCTGTAATTTGTGTAACTTAAAACTGACCATTTTATTGTTTTTCTTTTTTTGTGTGTTTTGTAGTTTGCTTTCTATTTTCTTTTCTTAAAATTGGCTATTTTCAAGCATATAATTCAGCACCTTGTTTATGCTTGATTTTGGTGACCCTGGTGAGATTTGGACACAGTTCAATGGCACTCCGTACATTCACGGATTGTGCAGCCACTCTATCTAGTTCCAATAAATCGTTTCCCTCACTCCTAAAAGCAAATCTTAGACTCATTAAATAGTCACTCCCATTGCCCTTCTTCTCAGCCCCTGACAGCCTCCAGTCTGCTGTCTCTGTGATCCAATGTTATTACATATGGGGCTAAAAAAAGAACTCAATTAAAAATTGGCTCATGACCTGTGTCTCCTCAGTTTGGAAAACAGTAGAGTGAGAACTAGAGTCAGGGGAGACTCAGAAACAACCTGCCCACTGTTGGCATTGATCCTGACTCACAGCGACCCTCCATTTGGTTATTGAGACTGTAGATCTCTGTGGGAGGAAACTGCCCATCTCTCCTCCAAAGGAGTCACACTCTGGTGGATTCATTCTGATTAGCAGCAGCTCAGCTCATTACACACTACACCACCAGAGCCCCTTTCCAGGAATAAAGAGGGATATAATGAAGGAGGAGATAAGGTATTTAAACATTTGTGATGCCCTTTAACAGACAGACAGCTGTCAGAGACCAGAAACACCAACACACAGATGGAGAAAAACTAGTTTATGTGGAGATGATTTTGGTTCATGGCCACTCAGGTGTGTGAGAGTAGAAGTGTGATACGTTTCTTTGCAATGGCTGATTGTTTTGAAAGTGGACAATTGGGTCTTTTAAGGTGCCTCTAGGTGGAATAAACCACCAACCTTATGGCTTCTAGTTAAATGTATTAACGGTTTGCAATATCCAAGGACTCCGAGAGAGACCTGAAGTCACCAACAGAAGAAAATAGAAAGTCAACAGATAATATTATAGGAACTCCGAGAGAAAGAAAAAAGGCTGGACAGACTGACAGAGACAGGAGGAGAGGAAGAGATCCAGAAATGAGACAGAAACACAGCCTGCCTCCAGTTTACCATGTCCTTTTTTTCAGCTCACTTGTTCTCCAGGACCAGCCTTGCCCTTCTGGCTGGGGCCTAGACCAGACCCAGGCCTTGGGAGGCTGTGCCACCCACCTGCCCTGGCCCCAAAGAAGCTGCCCTGCCACCTGTCCACCTTCCCCAGCCTGGTGGGGCCAGAATGTGGGACAAGACTGAGCCACGTGGAAGGGGGCCCATACCTGCTGCTGCTTCTTCTGTCTTGGCTAACCCTTAACCATGTCCCAAGAGATCCCCCTGCCTGACACCAGGGCCAAGTGGCCCCAGTTTCCCTCCTGGCCCTGGCATTGCGAGTACGTGTTATTTATTACCTGGAGGCCCAGCCCACCCTCACCTTTCACCCATAAAGCATTGTTTATAACCTTGTCTTGGCCTCTGTCCTTTTGGGATGCCGTTTTTTGGAAGGAGGGTAACCTGACAAGGTCCCTGATGGAAGAATTAGGTCTGTTACAGGGCTTGAGGGTCATTTTTCTGGTTATGGACGTGGATGGTGTAGAGGATACCAAGGATATTTTACGAGTCCAACACTTGGGTGTCTTTTGAGGGAGGGAAGGGGTTTGCCACAATATGAAAACTTTGTGTGTGACGGCTAAGCTTGTGTGTCAGTTTGACTGCTTATGATTCTCTAGCCTGGCAGTTGCGGTATGATCATTCACTTGATGAGGATTGATAGTGTAATCATTCCCTTGGTGGGATTTACTATTAACGATTAGTCAAGGGGGAGTTTCATCGGGGCAGGGGTGTGTGTGGTCTCCAGTATATAAGGAAGGCTGGCAGAGCTGACTTGCACCTGGACTTGTCACCTCTTTGGTTTCTTCTTTCCTTTTGATTCTTCAGTCTTCCACGTATATGCCACAAACTTGGGACTTTTCAGCCTCTACAAGCTCATGAGTCATTTCCTTTAGATAAAACACACTGACACATAGACTTATACATATAAATAAAAATGTTATGTGATGTATTTTATAGGGAGTTGCACAGCTAACCTAAGTTGGCAATCTCTAGCAGTTCAGATCCTCTAGTTCTAAGGGATAGGTTCTTCTGCAGCTCTTATTCATTGTCCAGCTTTCAGATCCATAGTAAGTAATTGAAAAGACCAAAGCTTAAATCAGGTGTCTTTAAACTGACATCATTGCTCCTTCACATCTTAGGTTCTAGACAGCAGATTTCACCACTATGTCTTTTTACTTCTTGATTGTTGGTACCAAGGTTGTTGAAGTAAGATGAAATCCAAGGAAGATGAAATGGTTGACAATGTCAATCTTTTGGAGAGGATTTTTTCTTTTCTTGATGTTTAGATGTAACCCGCAGTCTTTGATCGTCTGTAGTAAGCATTTCAAGTCCATTGTGTAATATTAATCTTATGTCCTCTTAATGATCAGGATCAGTCATATATACCAGACAATATATAGTAACTCCCTTCATTGCCTGTTGACCCAGAGGCATGAGCAGTCTAAAGTGGCCGGGTGGTATTATTTGTGTGTGTGTGTGATTTTTAA